AATAGAACAAAATGGTGAAAGGATATCGTATTGATTTTTTTTTTATGTAATCATATATGTCTTACCTTTAAAAAAAAATTTTTTTGATGTAATTTGATAAATTAGTTTGATCATAATAAATAATTTTTTAATTGTCATTTTTTTTGCACCATATTGTATATAAGCAAACTAGTATTTAACTTGTTACTTTATATATGTAAGAAATATTGTTTTTTTTATAATATATGTTTATTAACTTATAAATTTTATAAACCTTTGTAATAAAATATAAAATAAAAAATATATAATAAAATATAAGACAGATATTATTAAGACTAAAACTAAATTAAATATATTATAAAACTATAAAAATAAAGATTATCTTTTAAAAAAATTCTTAATCAAATTTATTTATCTAGTTTTTATTATTTTGAAACTTGTAGAATAGTAGAATATAAATAATATTATTTGTTATTTTAATAATAGCTATTGTTATTATAATATAAAATTGATTTAAACAGATTTAATTTTTAATTTAATTTTTAAGTAAAATCTAATTAAATAACTAAAAGATTTTAATTATTTAAAAGATTTTAATTTTTTAATTAGATAAAATATTAAAAGTTTTGAAGTAACATAGCAAGTATTATTATAATATAATTATGTTTAAAAGTTAAGTTAAAACAAATAGTAGATCTATTAACTCTATTTTTTGAAAAATATTTAATTTAACAAGTATAATAATATTGATATAAATAATTTTTATAATAGAATAAAAATAAAATAAAAATAAAAAATTGTTATAAATTTTTTTTTATATAATTAAAAAATAAGCAAGACTTCCAAATTTAAATAATTTTTAATTTAAAATTTTATTTTATTGTTTATTTTTTTGATTTTTAAGTTTTTAAGTTAAAGCTTACTTGTAATAAAAAAAATAAATCAATTTTTTTTTAACAAAAATTAATATAAAAAAATTTTTTTTAAAATTAAAATAAATTTTTATTAAACTATATTAATAAATTAAATTAGCAAAGATCTTTAAGAATTTTTGTTTTAATTAGAGATATCCAGAATGGAGTTTTTATATATAAATTTTAAAAATCTTCATTTTTTCAAAGGTTTTCAAAGGTTATTAAAAGTTTGTAAAGTATTGTAAAGTATTATAAAGATTTATAAAGATTTGTGAAAGTTATATATTATTATAAAAATATATTTTAATATTATATAATAATAAATAATATAATAAATAATTTATATAATTTTAAATATTTGTATAATTTTTATTATTATTTTATAATTTATGCTTTAAATTTATTAAAAAAAAATATTATTATAGTTTAAAAAATATTCTTTAAAATGTAATTACTTTATTATTTATATTTATCTTTAAAGGTTTTCAAAAACTTTTACTTTTTGTCAAATATATTTAAATATAACTATAAGTTAACAAATATTTTTAATATTAATAAATATAATATAATATAATTTAGTTTTTTTAAATTTTTTTAAATATTTTTATTGAATTTTTTTCTTCTTTTAAAACCTATAATTATATATTAAATTTATTATATTTCTTGTTTTTATTTAAATATTTATAAAAATAATAAAAGAAGTTAGAAATTTTATATAAAATAAACTTTTAAAAAAGTTATTGTAATTATAATTTTCTTTATAATTATTTATTGCTTTTTGTAAAATGACAAAATATTTTGTAAATTATAATATAATATGAAAATATTTGTTTATATAATTATACAAATTTATATTAAAGTTTTATTGGCTAAAATTATTTATTTTTTATTGGTTAAAATTATTTGAATTTTATTGATTAAAATTATTTATTCTTATTGATTAAAATTAATTTATAATTTTCAAAATACTTTGAAATTAATTAAAATATTATATATATATGCATATATTAATAAGTAATTTAATAACAAATTTAATAAAAGCTTAAATAAGTCTCAAGTTTTAAATATTTAGAAGATTTTATTTTTATTTTTCAAAATATTTCAAAGTAATATTCAAAAAATTATATAAATATGTAAGAATATTAAGATTTAAAAACATTTTGCTTAGTTTTATGATTTTATAAAAGATTGCATTAATTTATTTTTTTCAAGTATTTAATAAAAAATATACAGAACAAAATTTAATTATAAGTTACTTAAGATAAAAAAACTTTAAATGGTTTGAAATTTCAGAATTTTTAAATTAATAACAATTTTTAAAATAGATTTTAAATGTTATGAATTTAAGAATTACAGGTTTTTAATATATTCTAAAGTTTTTTTGTTATAAGTAATTATAGTAAAATTTTGTTTTGCATATTTTATTAAGCACTTGAGAAAAATAAATCAATTTAATTTTTTATAAAACACTTGAAATTAATCAAAAACATTTTATATTATATAATATCTATTTCAAAGTAAAATTTTGAAGATTTTTGAAGATTTTTGAAGGTTTTCAAAGATCTCTAAAAATTTTTTAATGAAAGGTTATATATGTATCTAAGAATTATAAAATTTTAATTTGTTTTAATTAACATGTAAATATTGACCTTAATAAAATCTATTAAGCAAAGTTTAGCTAATTTTAAAAAAATAAAAAATAAAAAAATAAATCTCCCAAAACAGTAGTAACAAACTAATATATATGAATTTTAATATAACTTAACAAGTATCTTTTTTTTTTTTAAGGTGATTAAATGTGATAGAGCTTGCTCGTTTATTGATATATATATATATTGATAACAAGAATCGCTCAAATGACTCATACAAGTTTTAGTATGTTAAGCAAGATCTGGCTAGTTAAAAAAAAAATTATAAACTATATTTTATAATACTACTGTACGTATTAAAAAAATTAATGTAAAAACCAATTTAATAAATTTGAGTTCAAATAAATTTTCTTAAACAAGACACAATAAATTATAATATTATATACTATTTCTATCTACTGTATATACTGTGCATTTTTTTAAAAAATTCAGTAATTTCTATAATAACGCAATAAAAAAAACCTTAACCTTGATTCAACGAGCAAAATGCGCGATATAAATCAAGTCCTTCACAATCTTCTGTTAATTCTACTACATAAGATACATTGGCACCTACAAAGAATACACTCCCAGGTCCTAAACGCTCTGATCTATCGTTAACTAGCAAATTACCTTTCCCCTCGGTAACGATAATAATGCTAGGGCCCGCGATGCCCTCACACATTTCTTTTTTATTCTGTTCATCCAGTCTCGTCAATAAAACCGCGAATTCTTCGATGGGAGGATTATATAAGAAAGAACTCTTTGAATTGTCATATGGAATTGGATTAAGAATTTGGGATTCCGCGCTACCATATCTATAAGTTAGCATATCTAAGAGTACTGTAACGTCTTTAAATTTAGGAGTCAATCCCGCGCGAACTACATTATCGCTGGCCGCCATACATTCAACACAATCTATCAAAATAATAATCAAATATGAGTCATCTCAAATTAAATGTATAATTTGATATGTCACTATAAATTTAATATACCTCCTGAAAGATATGCATGAGGTTCATTTGCACCCAAAAAAATTGCTTGGCCCGGTTCCAATATTACATGATTTAACATTAAGACGCAAAAGATTCCTACATCTCCCGGGAATTGATCATTCAATCTAACAAGAAGTTCTTGAACGCTCCCCATCGAAAAATCACTTGATCTCAATCGAAGAACTAATCTTTCAACTTGAGAAGTCACTTCATTTGCATCAGCCGTCATTACGGCAGCAAAGAGTTTACGAAGGGCATTTTTATTTGATAAAATCTTCTCTTCATCGTTTGAATTTTCTTTACCGGTAACAGTCTGGGTAAAATGCGATGATATTTCATTACCTACAAGTTCTCTAAATTCCGGATATTCCGAAAGAAAAGCTACTATCTCTCCTAATGGTCTAAATCCACATAATGCCTCGAATCTTGTAATTGCTATAGCCATTTCAGGTTTATGATTAGGGTCTGAGGTAAACAAGAATTTTTTTTTGTTAAATCCATGATCTAATTACTGATTTATTTTATTTGAGGAAGAGTTCACCTTTGTATATCTTTGGGAATTTTTCAAATAACTCTTTTCCAAGCTTCTTGTTCGGATGTGCTTGGATAGAAAGTGCTTTGTTTACGGATAAGACCTTAAACAAAAAAGGTAAATCATCATAAAGTTTGGCAATTTCTGAGGTGAGAACCTCAGGATTAGATTTTATAATGTCTTTCAAGTAGGTCGTAGGCTGTTCTGCCAGGACGCTCGGACCATTTGGATGTGTTCCCATCCAAAGCTTGAAATTGGATTCAAAATTAATCGCAAGTTCCACTCATAATCAATTGTCGAACACTTGACTTATTCACCTCAGCATAAGGCTTATCACTCTCTGCGCGAAAGTCTTCAACATCCTGAGCAAATTGTGCTACTTTACTTTTAATCCCAATCTTCCCCCATGCATAACTCTGAACGGCGCACTTTAAACGGTAGACAGACATCACGTATATTAAATTATATGTTTAATTCATGTGATTAATGTTTGGTTTAATGGATCATGGCCTACTTTATATATGATTGATCGACGATTATCTTGTCACGTGGACAAAATAACAGTGCTTTTGGAAATTTTTATTCAAATCTATTATACTCTAAGGATAAATCCGATGCATACCTCTGCAAGAAAATTCACACAAACTACATCACGCTTGCTCACGCTATGTAAGCCAAATTTAAAAAGTGGTGGTAAGTTTATCGTTTACTAATCATTTTTAAAGGTTAAATAAAAATTTTGACGTAGATCTTTAGAAAAAATCAATAAAATTGTATCCGTCGAAGAAAAACTCGAGAAACCGCGTTTCAAAGAAGGGGATATGGTCATTTTACGCGATACTAACAAAAGAGTCCAGGGTCCATTGAAAAAATTAGTAGGTCCTTTAAGGGTTGGAGTTAAGGAAAAAAAACAAATTTAATGAAATCATAGAACATGATCTCATAATTGGAAAGCCGATTCGATCACTTATAAAAACAAAATCAAGTACGTATAAAAGAAGATATGATCGGTAAACATCTTTCATGACAATTATTTTTGGAATTTGTCAGGAAAGACTCGTAGAAGTTCTACCATTCATTTCCCTACATTGGATGAGTACGTTTATTTGATCAAGGTAGTTTGGCGAGTGTAAGAAAATTATTAAGTTCACCATTAATGACCGCTCCATGTTTCTTATTTAATTAGATACTGTCTTTTTTTGCCACGTACAAAGGCACCTATCTATCCTAAAGATGCCAGTACTATAGTAATGTTACGTTTCAAATAAATTGCTGAAGACATTTTATTCAATAATCTAAGACTTTTTATTTGATAGATATCGTTACTTGATATAGGCCCACACTCAAAAATTATGGAGGCTGGTACCGGCAATGCATCTTTAACTCTCCATTTGGCCCGATCTCTATACCCAACTGGTCAGCTGCATTCGATCGACATTGATCCGGTAGCTAGTACTAAGGCAAAAGCAACAGTTACAAATTTTTCTCGTGGATTATATTCAGACGTCGTAAAATTCAGTACAGGGATGTGTTCTGAAGTTATTAGCGACGATCCTCATTTATATGACGGAATAGTATTGGATATTCCAGAACCATCAGGAGAATTACATGCGGTCGTTTCGAAGTTGAAAGTAGATAGATTTATTGTTTGTTATTTGCCGAATATGAATCAGGTCTTGACGTTGTTTCAGTACATTAGAGCACAAAAGCTGCCATTGGAATTGGAGAAGGTTTTGGAGGTACAATGGAGACCTTGGGATGTTAAAGCGACAGTTATAAGAAGTAGAATGGGTTCAGAACCTTTCTCGGTAAAGGAACTGATAAATCGTGATGAGATACCTGATGAAGCAATAGGGTATATTTGTCGACCTTCACACGAACCTACTGCGCATACCGCCTTTTTGATGCGTTTTGAAAAGACTGATCGAAACCAAATTCAAGAAACGGTTGTAGAGAAAGAAATAAAAGATTAATCGATGACGTGTTCATTATACGGGAATTATATGATAATAAAATTCTTTTCTTGATGTTATTTGGAACGATGTGTCAGTAGTTCGGAATGCATTATGTTGGATTCGAATATTACATTTCATAATACGATAGTTAGATTAATTTTACTGAAATTTTCCTTGAGGTACCTTATAAATCACTTATTCTAGTATAAAAATTTTTTAAGGGATGTTCTCCCTACCATGATAAGAACTTATAACTGCAAAACTTGTGACTTTATTGCTTATCGTCACGTCAAAATCGCGAAATCACAAAAATCGCCGCAAACTTTATTAATGTTTCGCGGAACTGACATCATTTCAATATAATATAGGTTATAATTATGTATCGTAAATAGATAACGATGACTAATAAAAATTTAAAATTTTGTAAAAATAATTTATAAAAATAAATATAAAAGATTATATAGGATTGTCTATTACCCTAATAAAAATTTCAATCAAATTAACAAAATATTGATCAATATAATTTTATTCTTATTGATATAATTAATCAAATATTTACTTTTGAAATTTTTGAAGCAAAACACTATTTAATAAACAAAAAATATTTTATTAAAATAAAAATAAGGTATTTGAAATACAATAAATATTTATAAATCTATAAAAATTATAAGAACAATAACTATTTACATACAGTATATGTACGTACAGTTTGGGACAAAAAAACTGGCACTCGGTTTTTTTTATTAAATATAAAGAATAATTTTTATTAAAACTATTTTAAGTTTTATTAAAAATTTTTTTTAAAAAAATTAATTT